AAAGAGCTGGAAGGCATGGTAAAAGGGGCACTGTAGAGGGGATTTTGTAGACTTCAGTCACTTGAAGAGGTGGATCAGTTTTTTCCCTTAAGTATCAGTTCTACAAGTCTAAATGAGCTCTAGAGCTCATTGTTTTTAGAGCTTAGAGAGAACAGTGTAATGAGAGACCTTGGGTGCTCCAGTCACATCTTGTCCCCAATCCAAGTTAAAGCAACTGTAGCTAATGTGGATGGGGTGATGACAGACTGGCAGGACAATCGCACCTTCTTCCCTTCCTTTGGAAGGGAGCAGGAGCAAGAGCCAACATGAGAAAAGGAAACGGGGCTCGAGTAACAGAAGTTGGTCTCTTGGCTCAAAGTGGAGTAGATTTTAAAGACCTGTCATTTCTGATACCAACACAAGCCTCCTGAATCCAGACATACACAACCACAACATGCCTAACCTTGGATTCATGGATCTGTGCAGCTTAAAGACAGGAGGGACCATTGCAATCATTTCACCTGATCCACTGCCTAACCCAGGGTGGAGACTCTCAACAGCAAATCCTGCATCCAGGCCAGAACCAGCAGGTCACTTAGAGAGCTTCTTTCAAAGAGGCATTTGATCTTGATCTAAATGTCATAAGTAGAGCCTGGTTTAAACTGCAGGCCCAGCTTGCAGCATGGCGGCTTGGAGTTCCGTCTGCACACCCCTCCACTGCTGATTGTCAGAGGGGTCCCACCAGCCCCACCACTTCCCCCTTGCTCCTGATAGCTGGGTGGCGAAAACCGCAGTTTTAAATATGCCACAGTTTTTGCCTCCTGCTGCTTGCTGCTGACCAGATGGAAGGCAAAAACTGGGGCATATTGAAAACCACGGTTTTGGCCTCCTGGCCATCAGGAGTGAGCGGCGGGGCCAATGGGGTCCCTCTGCCAATCAGTAGCAGAGAACGTGTGAGGTGAACTCCAAGATTAAAGGAGTCGCTGCACTGTGAGCTGGGTCTGTGATTTAAACCAAGCCCTAGTCCTAAGTGATAGAGAAAACACCACTTCCCCAGGTCTGTGTTTTCAATGGTTAATTTTCCTCTTTGTGAAAAATCTGCACCCTACTTGCCTGAATACATTGTATTTGTCTTCCAGCCACTCGTTCTATTGTGGCTTTGGGCAGAAATTTCTTCCCATTTGCATGTCTAAGTGGCAGATGTCTAGTCACTTACCCAGGTGTTTTGGCCCTGGATTTATGCAGTAGATGCTTACGTGTGTACAGTAAGGTCTATACACTGTCTGGGTACATGCTCATGTACCTGAGCCTAAGTTCTGGAAAAATGATGGGAGGTTGTCGAGTGGCTCAGGCACTCATCAGGGAGCTGGAGACCTGGGTTCTAGCCCGTGTCAGGTGGCTTGGACCTGCATCTCTCCAGCTTCCTAGCACAAACCACAAGATCATGAGCTATGCATCACAAAAAGCCCTTTCTTGCATGCCTTTTGAGGCTGTGCCACTGTGTTCTGCCTGTACTAGTCATTGGGTAAAATGGAAGGAGAGGAATGCAGTGGGGAAGCCTCAAACCACTGGGGACATGTTAAAAATCAAGGCCTGTTCTTTTCCAGGCCAGTGTCCATTTCACTGAGCCACATACCTTCCACCTGCTCTTGTCCTCTTGGCTGTATATCTCCTTCTCATGGCTGGTAAGGAGTCCAGCTTCAAAAAAGCTGCCAGAATGGGTACTAGGGGGATACCCAACCTGTGACATGGTGCTTAGGCCACTGTGCTAGGCAGTCAAAGTAAATTCAGATTCAAGCCCTCTATAAGTGAGTTAGGCCTAGAACTTGGGTCT